ATTCAGGACCCCAAAGCAGTAAGAATTGGTCAGCATGGAGCAGTACAACAGTTTGTGTTAGGTGCAAACAACACCTGGCCACAAAAGAGAAGTATGAACAGGGTATGGAGAAGGCAGGAACAGACTGTGCCAAGGTTCCAAGTTAAAACACAAATCACACCACAGAAAAGGACTGCACAGAGATGGAAGTAAGAGAGGGTGATGCATCAATAAAGAGCAAAAAAGCAAAAGTTCTCACTTTTGAGAAGGAAGAGGGGAGACAGAACAATGAGGAACAACTAATGACCATGGATGGCGGAATGGCGGACCCTGCAAAAGAGCAGGGCCGCCCAGCCCAATGAGCATATTAAGCTACAACTGTCGTGGGCTGGGGAAAACCACGACAGTTGCACGAGTAGCTGAGCTACTAAAAGAGCAAGACCCCAGCATTGTGTTTCTGATGGAAACCAAGAAGAAAGAGCACGAATGGGAGGCGACAATTGAAAAATTAGGATGGACAAAAGGACAAGGAGTAGGATCAAGAAACCGAGCAGGTGGATTGATAATGATGTGGAAGGAAGAGTTGCAAGTCGAAGTCAAGGCAGCAACCCAGAATCACATTGATATCTGGATAACAGAGGGAACTGAGGGAAAGAAATGGAGATTGACAGGGATCTACGGCTGGCCAGAACAAGAGAACAAACCTAAGACTTGGGAAATGATCAAGCGGCTTCATGGTCAAGCTAACTTACCATGGATATTATGCGGAGATTTCAATCAGGTGTTAAGTTATGAAGAAAAGAACGGGAGAAATCCTCCTGATATCCAAAATATGAAAGACTTTCAAGCAACACTGGATGAATGTCACTTGGAGGACCTAGGGTATCATGGAAACATGTTTACTTGGGACAATGGTAAAATTGATGAGGATTTTCTTGAGCAACGGCTTGATCGAGCTGTTGCTAATTCAGAGTGGAAAACTGAGTTTCCAGAGGCTAGAGTCTATCACCTGGATAGATGGATGTCATACCACATTCCTATAAAAATTGAGATGAATCTACAGGAGGAACAAGTGAAATGGGGATGGCATTTTAGGTTTGAAGCCTTCTGGCAACAGCATGAAGAATGTGCCTCTATCATAGAGGCTGAATGGCAGAAGAACCCAGATTTGCCACTTGAAGAAAGAATCAAAAACTGTGAGAAAGCTCTCCTGGAGTGGGGAAGAGGAACCTTTGGGAATCTAAAGGCCAGGAGAAAGAGAATTGAGAGGGCTTTGATGAGAATCTCCAAAATGAAAAAAACCAAAGCTGTACTCATCCAACGTAGAGCACTAGAGAAAGAATTAAATGAAGTGTTGGATTTAGAAGAAATCAGATGGAAGCAGAGATCAAGATCAGATTGGCTGAAGGAGGGGGACAAGAACACTGGATTTTTCCATCAGAAGGCCTCCAACAGGAGGCGTAGAAATACTATCAAAGAACTACAGGGAGATGATGGATGTATTTTCAGGGGACAGGAAGAACTCATGGGCTGCTTCACTAATCATTTTCAGAAATTATTCACAGCAGAGCCAACTCCTAGTCTCTATGAGGTGCTGAATGTGGTAGAACCTAAAGTTACAGACCACATGAATCAAGAATTGCTGAAGCCATTTTCTAGAGAGGAGATTTTCGAGGCATTGTCTAGAATGGCACCCACCAAAGCCCCTAGCTCTGATGGAATGCCAGCCCTCTTCTTTCAGAAGAATTGGGCGACTGTTGGGGATGCTGTGTGCTTAGAACTACAAAGAATCCTACTGACAGGGGGGGTTCCTCACTCCCTGAACCACACTCTGCTAGCAATGATTCCTAAGACAAAGAAACCAATCTCTCCCAAGGAGTTTCGACCAATTGCCCAATGCAGAGTGCTCTACAAGATACTATCAAAAGTGATAGCCAACAGGCTAAAACTAGTGCTTGATGAGGTCATCACTGACACTCAGAGTGCATTCGTGCCAGGGAGAAACATTACAGATAACATAATGATTGGTTTCGAGTGCTTCCACGCTATGAAGAACAGAAAAAAGGGGAAAGAAAGGATTTGTAGCTGCAAAACTCGACATAGCTAAAGCTTATGATCGAGTAGAGTGGAGCTTTCTTGAAGGAATAATGCTGAAGTTGGGTTTTCATGCAGATTGGGTTCGAATGGTGATGAACTGTGTTACTACTGTGAGTTATGCAGTGTTGGTTAATGGACATCAGACTCAGGTTTTCAAGCCAACTAGGGGGCTCAGGCAGGGGGATCCTATATCCCCCTACCTTTTCCTATTATGCGCAGAAGGGTTATCAGCCCTGATAAAGAAAGCTGAGGAAGAAGAAAGAATTCGAGGGATTAAAGTGAGCAGCAATGGCCCAATGATCACTCATTTATTCTTCGCGGATGACAGTATATTCTTTTTTTAGAATAAAAAAGAACAGGGAGAAGCATTGAGGGACTTACTACGCACCTATGAACTAGCCTCAGGTCAACAGGTAAGCCTAGTCAAGTCCGAGATCTCTTTTAGTACCAATGTCATTGAAGAGGACAGAAGAATAATGGGAGAGATCCTGGGGATGAAAAGGGTAATGCATCATGACAAATACCTAGGACTTCCTACAGTGATTGGCAGAGCCAAGAAAGCTGTATTTTCACAGCTAATTGATCGTGTTAGAGATAAAATTAAGATGTGGAAAGGGAAGTTGTTATCAATGGCAGCCAAAGAGGTGCTAATCAAGGCAGTGGCACAAGCACAAACCTTATACGCCATGTCAGTTTTCAAAGTCCCTCAAAGTGTCATACAAGAAATCCAAAGAATGATTGCAAGCTTTTGGTGGGGAAAGGAAAAGGGAGGAAAGAAGAATACACTGGATGAGTTGGGAGAAATTATGTCGCCCTAAGTTTGAGGGTGGGATGGGATTCAGAGACTTACAAGGGTTTAACATAGCCTTACTGGGAAAACAGGTCTGGAACCTTCTAAAGAAACCTGAGTCACTTGTGGCAAGGGTCCTAAAAGCTCGATACTACCCTCACTGTGGTGTTCTAGAGGCAACAGTGGGATCAAATCCCAGTTACATTTGGAGAAGCCTAATGCAAGCTCAATCCCTAGTGAGAGAAGGGACAAGGTGGAGGGTGGGAAGTGGAGAAGATATTCGCATCTGGTGGGATCGTTGGATTCCAGAGTCACCAAATTACAAAATTCAATCTCAGGCAACGGGGCTAGGAATAACAGAAAGGGTATCAAGTCTGATTGATTGGGAGACTAGGTCATGGAAAAGCAACCTTTTGCAAAACAATTTCCAACCAAATGACAGGTCTCGAATCGAACAGATACCCATACCCCCTCAACCTAGACCTGATGTACAGATTTGGGGAAAGGAAAAGACTGGTAAATACACAGTCAGGTCAGGCTACAAGGAATGGAGAAAGGCTCATAGTGCAGGTCAAGTTGAAGCCTATGTACCAGTAGATTGGAAGCATCTATGGATGCTGGAATTGCCGCCGAAGGTTCGCATTTTTGTATGGAGATGGGGGAGTAACATCCTCCCAACAGGAGCAAACCTAAGCAGAAGAATCAAGGATGCATTCGATGAATGCCCTTTCTGTGGCTTATTGGAAACGCAAGAGCATATCAGAAGAGAATGCGATTGGGCAGGAAGGGTATGGAGACCTAGCAATTTGGCAAAAATTTCCAGATGGGAGAGGGAAAGAACTGTGAAACTTGGTTGTGTGATTTACTCGAGGCAACAAGCAGAGAAGAACTAACCAAAGTCCTAATCGCACTTTGGTTCCTATGGAAGGAACGAAACACCCATTTCTTCAATAACCCTAAATTAGAGGAGTGGGAGATAGTGGGTAGAGCTCTGAATTACCTTGAAGAATATGCAGAGAACCAAGGAAGGAACAACATCGGAATTCAAGCACCGCGAGATCGAACCAGGGCAAAGTGGGAGCCTCCACCGGTGGGGATCCTAAAGCTGAACACCGACGCGGCGATTCTGGGAGAAGAAGGAACAGGTTATGGCATGGTACTGAGAGATTGGAATGGAAATTTTATCTTGGGGGCGACTCACCGGACCAAGGTGCGATGGCCAGTAGAATTGGCGGAGGCGAAGGCAATGTTATGGGGATTGCAGCTGGCAAGAACCCACCAAACCCAATCGATGCTGCTGGAATCGGATTGTCAAACCCTAATCCAGAAATTGAATCGCAGGGAAACGACTGATATGGAGGTGGCGATGATTTGCGATGAAATTCGAGATTTGGCTGGGGCGAATGATGTGGCTGGATGGAGATTTGGGAGAAGAGAAGGAAATGAAGGTGCTCATGTGATGGCACGATTGAGAGGAAGAGCAGAAGAGACTGAAGTGTGGATAGATAGGCCCCCTATCTGTCTGGTCACTATACTTTCAAAAGAAAGCAATGTAGTCACTGAAGTTTGATTTTGAATACAGATGAATTGTCAAAAAAAAACAAAAATTTTGAAGCAAAAAAATATATCTAAAAATCGGACCAAACACAGTATCAATACATGTCTTACCCAACGAAATACAGTGTAGCATAAAAAGATGAGTTTTGGAGAACCATTTAAGTTGACCAAGATTTTTGAACACTTTGCCTCAACTTTTTTTATATGAGAAAGCTACTAAAAGATGCAGAATATCATATAGGGGATTGCTATTCGTCGCCCTAAGAAATGCTATTCATCGCCCTAACTCTTAATCAATTTACCCTAATATCCCTAGTTTATTTTTTGTTTCACAAACACAAACCTTCGGGAAATACACACAACCCACACCAAAACACCCTTTACTCGTCATCTCTTTATTGAATTTGATGACAAAAGAGATGCTGATCGAGGATGCTATTCATGAGCTAGATGGTAAAATTATTGTTTACTGAAGTGGCTGTTTTCACTTTTTGCTTCATGTGGTTGTATTTGGATGTTTCTGGTTCTCTGCTGGGTCTTAACATATTAATTATATCATGTAAAATGTTACCAGGTCATTTTGCACGCGAATGCCGCTCACGTGGTGGTTCAGGAAGAAGACGAACTCAGTTCGAGATACAGAAGGAGTCCCGTTTATGGCCTAAGGTTATGTTTGGAATATATTTCTGCATCTTCTCGTAACTTATGTCGACCTATATCAGTTGTTAGTTTGACTTGGGCTGCTCTATGGCAGGAGGTACAGTCCTCGTGGTGGAAGATCTCCCATACGTCGGAAACAAAGCATCAATGATTGTGGGAGTGGCAATAGCGGCAACCGGAATTCTGTTGGTGGGTGGTTGCACAACCAGCAACAGCGACGGATGAGGGTGGGAGATCGGGTTGAGATGGGATGAATGTGGCGGTGGCGGTGAGCAGAATTCGCCGGAAGCTGCTACGGCAGTGGGGTCGGCCGCAGAATTTTTTCTCCCAGGCGGTGGGGTTTGCGGTGGGTAGGGACGAGCGATTGTTGGTTTAGTATTTACTATTTAGGTTAGAAATGAAGGTTAGGGATAAATGTGTAAATTTAATGTGATTTAGGGCGATAAAATTTAAATGTTAGGGCGACGAATAGCGATTCAGATCATATAAGGAGTACAAAATTTGTGTTTGATCTCCAAATAATCTTGTTACTACATCAAGCCATCAAAATTATTGTTTTTAGTTTTTACTACTATCCGCTCCAAATTTGCTTGTTCCTATTCCTGCTCTCTCGTTATAAAAAATGACAAATGAAAACCCTACATACACACGGTTAGAAGTTTGGTGCCGGTATTTGCAATATATTGAATATCGTATCAGATTTTTTGATATTTGATAATACCGAATATACACATTATTTGAGATTGAGATTTAGATTGAATTCCAAATGTTATTTTGTATTAGAGATTAGGAGATTGGGATCGATATATACTGAAATACCGATCAATACCAAAATATAAGATAGTGTGTATTTGATCCTTTCAACTAGACTCTCTCCCTCACTACTACCAAACGCTCAACCGCCAAGATGGTCACTTAATTATGCATAGCTATTCTCTCATTATTTGACAACTCATAACGAGCTCATTTTGTTATTTGTAATAAGGGTGACCATACGATTGCAGTTTTGGGGTTAAACCGCTAAACACACCGAAATCGCGCGGTTTGTGGTTAACCGCAAACAGAATAAGAAGACTTTTTTTGCGGTCATGGTTAGTGATGTTGGTTGTTTTGCAATTAGCAGTTTAACCACAACCGCAACCAAATAAGAACTAGTCGCGCGGTTTGTGGTTAACCGGCCACAAACCGAATAAGAACTTTGGAGGTCCTTCTAGTTCCGCCCTACATGTTGTCGCATGAAATCCAATCTTCAAAATACAAAGGCTCCCCATGAAGCACCATCGGCACAAGACACATACCGACGCCCATAGTATGCCAACACCTTTAGTCCTGCACCTTATTGCGATGAAGTGGTTTGCACTGCGGTGAACTGCGGTTAACAGTTAACCACACTTTATGGTTAGCGCTTAACCGCTAACCGTTTACGGTGTTGCCGCAGTTGACATAAATGGCTCCATTTCGCTTGAGGTTAACCACAAATTTTGGAGCGGTTAACAACAATTGCACTGATTGCCAGCCCTAATTTGTAGAATGTTAATAGGTTGCTTAGTAGTCCCCTGTTCAGTTTGTTAATGTGATTCTTAAGCAACACATTTTTCTAGTTTGTCATTATTGTACTTGAGTTTATTTTCCGTTTATTTTGCACGAGTGGCATTATTATTATTTTTTATATGTTGAGAATGGTTTGTGAAACTGCTCGCAGAGGAGAAGAATTTGTGTTTGTATATTTGATTTGTAATTTTGAAGGGAACTATTATGTTTTTGGTAATGGATACTTATATGCACCCTTGAACACACGGGCAAGATTGGGGGTGAAAATCGGTACGCTATCGGTATCACAATATCATATACCGAAATCCCAAATATCAAATAGTACTCAAACTCAATCTCAATCCCAATACCAAAATCAATTTAGTATCACAATCTCAATCCCTAAAAAAATTTGGTCGGTATATACCAAATATCAAATTAATTTCCTTCAAAATTACAAATCAAATATACAAACGCAAATACTAGCTCTACAAATAATCTAATATATAAAAATAAACAATGGTGTGGTGCCAAGTACAAAAACAAATAATAAAAAATCTCAAGTTATTACACTAGAAAAATGTGATGTCTAAAAAACACTTTTACAAACTAAAGCAAAAAATTCCCTTAAAAAAGTTAAAGCAACAAACTTAAACATGAGACTTATAAGCAACCCATAAACATAATACAAAGGCTTAATTGCAAGTTTGGTCACTCGAATTGCTACAAAATTTCACGTTTGCCACTCAAATTAATTTATTCCATTTATAGTCACTCGAATTAGTTGAACAGTTCAAGTTCAGTCACTCTCCGTTAACCTCCGTTAACTTTGACTGACGTGGCGGTCAACTCTGACAGTTGACCGTTAAATATGTGACGTGGCAAATAAAAAATAATTAAAAAATAAAAATTAAATTTTTAGAAATTACACATCATTATCACAAAAAATTATAATTATAAAAAATAAAAAGAAGAAATTATCACAAATTTCTCCAACGCTTCAGGAGGTGCCGAGAAAAGCGGTGGTGAAGGAGGTGAGGAGAAACGGATCAGGAGGCGCATTCCAGCCATTCCAAAAGGAGAAAAATAGTAGCAGCGGCGGCGGTGGCGGCTTTGTTGGGAAGAGCAACGGTGTTGGTGGTGGTGGTAATCATGACAATACCATCACCGTCGCTACTGCTGCTGCGACTACTCCATCCTCGGTCCAGAGTTCCAGCGCGGCCGCGGCGGGGTCCAGCGGCGACGCTCCCAGCGTCAGCCATACGAATAGCAATAAACAGCAACAGCAAAATCCTAGCCGAATCGTAGAAACCATCAATGGTTCTCAAGCAGTGGCAAATTAAAAAAAAAATGCCAATCCCAGAAGAAAGCAGCAAACTCACCTTACGAGCCAACTTCCTGTAGGCACTCTTGATCTCCTGCAATGAGGCCTTCCTGCCGACGTTCAAGGTCGAGTAGTGGTCTCTCCCAGCGGCCCTGACCGTCCCACATCGCCGCCGCCGTTGTCCGTTGGCGCTGCCCTTATCAGAACCGAAAGAACTACTTTTCCTGCCGAAGGAGTCTGCCGGGAAGGAGAATTTAACGCTGTGGGAAGGGGCGGAGAACCCGAAACCCAAAGACCCATGCCCAATTGGAGTTGGAGCTCCGGGAAGTAGAGAGCGCCTGGAGACGAGGCCGGGACTGGGGAGATAGCAATGTGTTTGAATAGTGGGCATAGTGATGGCAGGAGACGAGGAGAAATTGTCAATTGGACATTTTGAGGAAGCGGAAATCACGACGGCGGGGCGCGGTGGATGAATGGCGGGACGGCGATTGAGGGTTCTAGGAGGGGAAATTTGTGATAATTTCTTCTTTTTATTTTTTATAATTATAATTTTTTGTGATAATGATATTTATTTTTTAAAAATTTAATTTTTATTTTTTAATTATTTTTTATTTGCCACGTCACACATTTAACGGTCAACTGTCAGAGTTGACCGCCACGTCAGTCAAAGTTAACGGAGGTTAACGGAGAGTGACCGAACTTGAACTGTTCAACTAATTCGAGTGACTATAAATGGAATAAATTAATTTGAGTGGCAAACGTGAAATTTTGTAGCAATTCGAGTGACCAAACTTGCAATTAAGCCTAATACAAATAACAAAATGAACTTGGTATGAGTTATCAAATAGTAGGAAATGAGCTATTATAATTAAATGATTGTTTTGGTGGTTGAGGGTCTTGTAGTAGTGTGTGAAGGAGTCTAGTTGAGAGTGATAATACACACTAGCTTATATTTCGGTATTAATCGATATATTTTGAAATATACTGATCTCAATTTTGCAATCCCTATAACTCTTGAAATTCAATCTCAACATCAATTTGGTTCAAATCCCAATAAATAATACGTGTATCTGATAATATCAAATATTAATAAATTTGGTACGATAATCATTATATTTTTAATACCGGTACCGAATTTACAGAGACTTTTATCTAGCATGCTGAGGCCCAGCACAAGCACATAAGACCAAGATTGTCAACCCTCGGGTTGACCCGGAACCGGTCGAGCTAGTGGGTCAAGGGTTAATGGGTCACCCGTTTTAGCTCGGTTCAGCCTGAAAATATGGAAATAGTCATTATATTGTACATATCCTGATAAATTATATCAAATTTCATCTAACATATGAGTTATAACATATAATATTACACCAAAACAACATGTACTTATATCCAACATATAGTGAAAATTCACACACACTTATGTATCATCAATATTCAAATGTTCAACTTAGGATTCCAAAAATGGAGTTAGGCGAAAAGAAAATTGGAAAATAGGCGCATTTCGCAAACCAAAGAAAAAAATGACACAATTTGACTTCGAACCCGATACCTTGTAGCGGTCGACCCTTCAGTTGCGTGCGACCCGTTTTTCTCACCTGACCATGATGAAAGTGGGTCGACCCGACCCGCGGGTTGACAACAAGACCAAACTACGCCGTAAGCTAGCGATAGCCGCAAAAGAAAAAACATAGGTAAAAGAAGAATTCGAGGAGAGGGGAAAAAAAAGGTTCTAGGGCAATCTTTGTTACATACTGAGTTGGCGCTTCGCTTTTGCTCGTAACACTCACTGTTAGAAGCAAGGAAACGCAGCTCGGTACAACTCACTCTGTCTTGAAACAGATCCCTCCAAAAGGTACCATCCGAGAGCAACAGATTCGCTGTTTCTAGGGTTTTACGGTTCCCCGGCGAAGAAGTATTGCGAGAGAAAATGGGGTTCTCAATGCAGCCTTACGGCATACAATCAATGCTCAAAGAAGGGCACAAGCATCTCTCCGGTCTCGACGAAGCCGTCATCAAGAACATCGACGCCTGCAAGCAGCTCTCCACCATCACCCGCACCTCTCTCGGCCCTAACGGTATATTTTTATCGGATTCACACCCATTTCTTTTTTTTAGGTTTTGTAAGGGTTTCCCGATTCGGATCTCTTGAATTTGTTGGTCGGTATTTTGCCTTCCCTAGGTATGAATAAGATGGTTATCAACCATTTGGACAAGCTGTTTGTCACTAACGATGCGGCCACCATCGTGAACGAGCTTGAAGTTCAGCATCCTGCTGCCAAGATTTTGGTCCTTGCTGGGAAAGCTCAGCAGGAGGAAATTGGGGATGGAGCTAACTTGACCATCTCTTTCGCTGGCGAGCTACTTCAGAATGCTGAAGAACTCATCCGGATGGGCCTGCATCCCAGTGAGATCATTAGCGGTTACACCAAGGCCATTGTCAAGGTAACAAATCTATGATACAGCACGTTGTCAATTGTGTGTGGCGAGACTGAGTGCGTGAACCTTTAGTAGTTTTGCGCTTTCTGTTTATTAAAATTGTCTCCTTTCTTGTCTCCCAGGCGATTGAAGTATTGGATGAATTGGTAGAGCAAGGGTCGGAAACTATGGATGTGAGGAGCAAAGAGCAAGTTGTTTTCAGGATGAGGGCTGCTGTTGCTAGCAAGCAATTTGGGCAAGAAGATGTTTTGTGCAGTCTTATTGCTGATGTATGCATACTGCTTCGAACCTGCTTTGTTGATCATTGCGTTTCCTGTGAAATTTGTTTATCTTGACTTGGTTCCATCGGTTGCTTGAACCATAGGCGTGCATACAAGTTTGCCCCAAGAACCCAGTAAGCTTCAATGTGGACAGTGTCCGTGTTGCAAAGCTTGTGGGAGGAGGCTTGAACAATAGTTCCATAGTTCGTGGATTGGTCTTGAAAGGTGATGCTGTCGGTACGATCAAGAGAATAGAGAAGGCTAAGGTGAAGATGTTTGCTTTCATTGATTCCATTTTTCAATACTGACTTCTTACATTGTTATTTTTTCTGTATTAGAAAGAAGTTCTATTTTAATACATTTACTGCATTTTAAGGCGGAGGTGATCTCTTCCTGAATGAATATAATATTATTCTCATTTCTTTGGCCTTTGCATGTGTAGGTTGCTGTATTTGTTGGTGGTGTTGATACAGCTGGAACTGAAACCAAAGGAACTGTCCTAATTAACACGGCTGAACAGGTATATCTATATTTGTTCTCATTCCAGTAGAGTTATTGTTGTTAATACCTTGTGTCTGTGTTGTGTTTTCATCCTGCATCTTGTGAAACTTATGCCGTTTTGTTGTATGTCTATTTTTTTTTCTGCTATGCAGCTACAAAATTATGCAAAGACTGAGGAAGCTAAAGTTGAGGAGCTTATTAAGGCAGTTGCTGATTCTGGTGCTAAAGTTATTGTCAGTGGTGGTGCAGTTGGAGAGATGGCCCTACATTTCTGTGAACGATACAAGTATGCTTTGTATAACTAAGATCTTGCTAAGTTTATCATCCTAGATCTGTTTATATTACATATCGATTTGCATGTCCTCTCAGCTGAACAGTGTGAGTTGAAATTGCAATTGTGATACTGGTTGCTTGGTAAATTCTTTTGACTGATCCCATCAACGTTTTCACCCCCTGTGATTCTTTTATTTGTAGACTTATGGTCTTAAAGATCAGCTCGAAGTTTGAATTGAGACGATTTTGTCGCACAACTGGCTCTATTGCAATGGTATGATTGTTACCATTTTGTTTCCAGTTCAACTTTTCTTTGTCGCAGCTAATTTGCCCCTTATTCTACCTGTTTTATGCAACAGTTGAAGCTTAGCGCACCAAACCCAGATGACTTGGGACACGTAGATTCGGTTTCAGTTGAGGAAATTGGTGGTTCAAGGGTATGTCCAAATACGATTTTTTAATCATATAGTTGTTTCACTCCAGCTAGTCCTCATTGACTTGGTTTGTCACTGTGATCTACTGTGCAGGTCACTATTGTGAGAAATGAAGAAGGTGGAAACTCAATAAGCACTGTGGTTTTGCGAGGCAGCACAGAAAGTATACTGGATGACCTTGAAAGGGCTGTTGACGATGGAGTGAACACCTACAAGGTGCGTAAGCTCAACATTTCTTTTGGTTTGCTTGCAAATCTTCGTTAGACCTGGATTTGCTCGTGATGCTTCTGGCAGCGTAAAGGGACATAATCACTAGTCCTAATTGTTGTTGTGAAATGGTTTATTCCCTCTCTTTTTTTCCCTTTCTGCAATTCTTGAAGTGCTACCGCCCCTTTGCTGCTTAAACCACATCTTCATCTTTGGTATCAGGCAATGTGCAGAGACAGCCGAACAGTACCCGGAGCTGCAGCTACTGAGATCGAGTTGGCTAAACGAGTGAAGGAATTCTCATTTAAAGAAACAGGGTGCATTTCTTGCTTTTAACTGTAATTATGTTATTATTTCGTAGAACCGTAACTCTGTTTTGTTTGTTCTATCGAAAGCTTCTTTTTTTTTTTTTTTTTTGTGTGGTAATTCTCAGAATCTGTTGCTGTTTGTGAAATAATCTTTGCAGTTTGGATCAGTATGCGATTGCGAAATTCGCTGAAAGCTTTGAGATGGTTCCAAAGACACTTGCTGAGAATGCCGGTCTGGACGCAATGCAGATAATTTCTTCTCTCTATGCCGGACATGCATCTGGAAATGCTAAAATTGGCATAGACTTAGAGAATGGTGTTTGCAAGGATGTGACAGAGACCAAAGTTTGGGACCTCCATGTGACTAAGTATGCTTCCGTTATATCAACGTTGACTGTTTGAATTGATTGTTAATCCTGGGTCCTTACCTTTCATCTATTTTTTCCCCCTTGTGTGTAGGTTTTTTGCTCTCAAATATGCTGCCGATGCTGCCTGCACTGTGTTGCGAGTAGATCAGGTATGCTGTGTTTTTCTGTTTCTAAGTATTACCTTGGTCTCAGTTGGTTGTTTATTCGATGTCAAAGTTATCAGAGACATTCGATCATTGAAATGGTTGCATTGCTATTCTTCTTTCGGCAGATCATAATGGCGAAACCAGCAGGTGGACCGAGGAGAGACCAACAGCCAGCCAATGATGAAGACTAGTTCTTATGCATCTCTTACGAATTCCATCAGTTTTGTCTTCTGTTTGTATCTTATTATCCAGCAGAATATCGATCCACTAGGGGTAGGAGTTATCTCTCTTGTTTTGATTTAGTTTTCAGCTGCCCAAACGAATCAAACTTACCCCTTAAGAACAGTTTTGCTTGCCATTAAGTAGATTGAGGTTTGTTGAACTGTTGGCCTGGAAATTCTACAGCTCTCGCGTTGATTTTCTGGAATCATGTCCCTTGGAATTCATGGTATGTAACTGTGGTGCAGCAGTTTACCTCGGCCAATCTTTCCCAAATTGCGAAATATAATCCAAAATATATAGTTAATTAGACATCGTGACATGTTTTTTAACCAGGAAGGTAATGAGAAACATGGATTTGGTAAAGATATTTACCCAAAATTATGAATGGTCCATAAGAAAAGAAGATAAAAATTAAGTTGAGTGCAAATATAGGGCCAAAGGGTCGCAAACAAAGACAAAAACAAGCTGTTTTGTCTGCGAGTTGGCCAGGATGAGCTTTCTCCAATCTCCACCCAGCTAGCTCGCAGGGACTGTGTGGAAGCAGTTCAAGCTCTGGTTTCCTTCTTCTTTCCCTCCTTCCCTTCAATGGCTTCTCTTCTATCTTTCTCACTTCCCAAACTAGGTATAGTGAGAGCCACTTCACTCTCTCCCACAACTTCCATCCCCACCACCACTTCAGACACCGGTGGAAGCAGCAGTGGAACACTTGAAGAGAAGTTTGGCAGAAAGGGAATCAAGTTCACAGATTCGGTTGCAGAACTCACTGTCAGAAATGGCAGCTCATTGAAGCTCCACATTCCTGATGCTCACGTCACTTCATACTTACCCAAAGTCCACTGGAAGGATGATGGCTTCGAAGAAGTTCTCTACACAATCCCACCAAGTGGGGATGGAAAGCAATCCAAAGGTGGAATTGGTTTGGTTCTCCATGATGTCTCTCCTCAACCTTCCTCTCCTACTGGCCTGAAGCAAGTGAAACCCTCGCAGTCCAAACCTTCCCTTCTCACAACTTCTGAATGGTCAGTCAAGGCTGTGGATTCTGATGCCATTGATGCCCTCCAGGTAGGGAAAGCCTGAAACCTCGAAACGTCTTCATATGGGTTTCTTTCCTTGTTTTGATTGGTTCCGTGAAGTTATGATCTTTCTGGGGTTTCTTCTGTGTGTTTAAGGTTGCATTGGGTTCGAAAAGTGGGAGCCTTGAGATGACATATGTGGTGACTCTCTATCCAGTGAGTGTGGCCACAGCAGTAATTGTAAAGAACACTGGGAGGAAACCTGTGACCTTAACAGGTGCTATATTGAGTCACATGAGATTCAAGCGTCGAGGTAAGGCGGCAATTCAAGGGCTGAGATCGTGTTCATATTGTACTCATCCTCCATTGTCGTCGCCCTTCGAGATCATCACACCTGGTGAAGCCATGAAGCCCGACTCCCCTGGACTGTTTGATTTCTTCTATGAACCCGAGGAGAAACCCGGGTCATGGAAAGTTCAGGATATCCCTTTTACAATGCTGAACCATAGGATCAGTAGAGTCTATGCTGCTCCACCTGAGGAGAGATTGAAGCCTTTCTACAACACTCCACCATCCAAATATGAGACACTTGATCAGGTAAGAAAGATGAACCCTTTTGTTTGTTTGGTTAGATTATGTGACTTTGAATTGTGATCCTTAAGGTTGTGTGTGTGGTTTCTATTTTCAGGGAAGGGAGATATTCTTCAGGATGATTAGGATGGGATTCGAGGACATCTACGTGTCAAGTCCAGGCACATTCTCAGAGAGGTATGGTGGTGATGAGAAGCATCATTTCATCTGCACTGGGCCTGCCACAATGCTGGTGCCTGCTGTTGTGAAGCCTGGTGAAGAGTGGAGAGGAGCACAAGTCATAGAGCATGACAATTTGTAGTCCCACTTTAAAGCAAAAGCTACCTTGATATGATTTTTGGAGTAAATATTCAATGTTTTGTCCATTATATACTATCAATGTATCACTCATACTAATGGTAAGTAAGTGTTCGAAGAACTATGTTAGAAAAGCAGTTATTGGGATGAACCGATGTGTGACACGATAATGGAGTACGTACAATAAGATCAGAAGTTTATCAGCACCCATAGAGCTGAGCTTAATGCTGCTGAAGTGAAGAGGATAAGGCTTACAAAACTGGTTGGCTGACAGCTTATAAGGCTGCAAAATGGTCTCATCTCATGATTCCTCATTCCCTAACATGAATAATTGGAAAAAATTGCATAATATTTTCACAGGCAAAAAAGAAGGAAATATCCTGATTCCCCTATCTTCAAGTTAACTCCAAGGAGATAAGTTAAAGGGACCCCTTCATTCCCAATTCTCTCTTCTCATGGCTTTCACTTCACTCCTCTCTCTCAACCCCACCAATCCTATCTCCTCCGCGTTCAGAAACTTCTCTTCATCTTACCCTGCTTCTCATTCTCCTTCTCATCTTCTTTCCTCGACCTTCAACAGAAGGGAACTCCAACCTTCAACAGTGGCTTCACAATCAACCAGCCAGTTTCAACCAATCAATGTGGACTACTTGGAGCAGGAATTCAGTGGCCATGGAGTCAGTTTCCAAACCCTTGAGGAAACCTGCTGTGTGGGCAAGATGAGGTTGAAGAATGGCAGCACTGCAACTTTCTTGCTCCCAAGTGGCTTGATCACTTCATATAAGGCTAAGATGTGGCATGGCGGGACCATGGAGCTGCTCCAGACATCTGTGGGCTCTTCTTCTTCTACATCGAGAGGAGAAGAAGATGGTGTTCTGATTCAAGGGGGAGTTTCTTTGGCTTTCAACTTTAACAGCCATGGCTGTGAGACTTCATGGTCTCCGAGGACTTGGGCTATTAGTGATGTTAGAGGGGATTCTGGTGACTCCATTGAGGTTAGCCTCTCAACTTCTGAAATCATTTTGATGGCATGGATTGGTTACTATTTGGTCTTTTCACCCCCCCAAAAGTTCTGAATTTGGGCAGAACCCTTTTAACCATCAAGTAATATTGACAGGATAAAAAGATAATATGGATGAAAAACATTGAAATCTAAGAATCACACAATATTGAAATAAGGATATCTTCAAATTATCATATAGTTTGGCTATGAAAACAGACTAGGGTTTTTAGAGAAGTTAAAATCCATGGAGCAATTTGCACTCTAAAAAATGTGTTTTTTTCTTGGGAACACAGGTTGAACTAGTGAGCACTGGTGGAGCAGTGGAGCAGATGGTTGAAATCAGATACACAATAACCATGAGTGAAGACATGTTGAGCTCTGAGCTCAGTGTCTCAAACTTAAACCCTTCATCCCCCATCATGATGAAAGGCTCCATTCTGAGCCACCTGACAGTGAGCACACCAGAAGCAACATCTGCCTGTGGATTAGAAGGTTCCAACTTCTTCCCCAGGCCAATGTTCATGTCGGATTTCGCCATCGTTCCACCACCTCCTCCATCTCAACTTGGCCAAAAAAGTGGAAATCTTTGGGGCAGAAGAGGAAGGAATCAGAATGTAGTGGCAAGAGAAGAGGAAGAAGGAATGGAAGGTGAAGAAAGTGACAGCCACAAGAAACTTACTGAACAAATGTGCAGGGTTTACACCAATGCACCAAGGAACTTCACCCTCATTGACAGGGTAACCCTGAAGCTGAAACTTTGGTTTTTCGCTTTCACAGATTGAATCCTGGTTGATGAGTGCTTGGTAAGAAATCTTTCTATGTTTTTGGGTGCTTGTTGCAGGGGAGAAGGAACTCAGTGGTGATTGGCAGGGAAGGGTTCAATGAGATGTATATGTACAGTCCAGGGTCAAGCCATGAGAGCTATGGGATGTATTCTTACATATGTGTGGGACAATCTGCCATGCTCAACCCTCTGGCTCTTGCTCCTGGACAAGTTTGGAGAGGCTGTCAGCATTTACATAACCCTAATCTTTGAAAAATAATCAAACAACTATTCCAAAGATCTAATGATCATTTTGGGTGTGGCATATCTTCAACCTCTATGAGGCAACTCGGATTTCAAATGGGTTCGGGCAAGGGGCGGAGCCAACGTTCAATTGGGTGAGTTCCATAACCTATTGAATCTCTGCTAGAATCCAAAACATGAGTAGTTGCAATTTGCAAACTGTCTCAGACAGGGGCGGACCCAGGAGGGTTTAGGGTGTACCGGACACCCCTAAATTTTGGGAAAACGATTATCCAACCCCCGGTGGTAATTTATGTATGAACAAAAAACTATAATTGATAGTGAAGAACACCCTTTTAATTTGAAAAAATGATTATCCTACTGTCATTTGTGTATAGGAATAAAAGTGGTAGGTTAGATAATTCAAATCTAAAACACTATTATTATTAATAAACTTAATTTCCATTGAGCTAAACTCATTTGTTGTTCGATTTTGAACAATGTGTAATAGTAAAATGACATTCCATATCTCTAATTATTTTAAAAACCTAACAATTAAACTAATTTCAAACTACCCTTAATTTGTATTGATTTTATGATTGTACGGCAAGTGTTGAAAGAGTCTTTCAGCTTTGGGTTACATCAAGAACAAGTTTACAACTCGAATATGCGATAAGTTCGTGAATGATTGTCTAGTAGTGTATATAGAGACAATTTTTTTAACACTATAGACACCAAGTGTATTCTACAATTATTTTCGAATATGAAAACACATCATGAACTTTTTTAACCTGTACAAGGTGTTTTCATATTTACAATTTTATTTTTATTAATTATTTTTTTATTTAATTTATTTTTTAAAAGAGGACACCCCTATAAAAAATTTCTGGGTCCGCCATTGGTCTCAGACGAATCGAATCCAACATAACTAAACCAGATAGCGGACTTCAAATGTTTACCTAAAACCTACAAGGAATATTTTGATTCATATTTACCTTTTGTATAATATAAACAAAACTTAGCTACCATAAGATACAACCTATCTCTAAATTGTTTATTCCAAATTCTCAATACTTAATTCATTGTCGACTTCCCCTAAATCAAATCAAAATATGAAAGAGCCCTCACCCACCCATTTAAGAGCATACTAGATCCACGTTAAGTAAAATCCGGGCTATGCCCTCGTTCGAACTAGATGGAAGATATTTTTCAACGGCACCAGCGTGTTTCAAGTGTTCAGATTCTTAGAGTGAAGGGGTCTGGATCGTTGGTAGGTATGGCAATTTTGACATAACCTACTTTACCCAATCTTTTTGGTCTGGTTTGGGACGGGCGGACATGGATACCTCTCATTAACCCAACCTGCCCTGACTAGTGATGGTAATAAATCGGGCTGGGACAAGTATCTCAATACACATGCCTGCCCCACGCTACTACGGTTTGGGACACTAAACCCACGCGGGGAAAAACAGAACGGCTAAATTACATGTTTGGTCACTCACATTACATAAATCTTTCACGTTTGCCACCCGAATTACTTTTCTTTCTTATTCGCCACTAACTTTACGAATCATTTCACCGTTAGTCACCGACTGTTAGACTCCGTTAACTCCTTCAGTTTTTTTATGATGTGGCAAACGGAACTGCTGACTGGACCGTTAAATTAATGACATGTCAATTTAAACAAAACATAAAAAAATAAAAAATTATCAAACTAACGAAACGATGTCGCTCTCGTAGAGCTGTCACAAGTGTGAAGTGTCTCTCCCGTTCGGGTCGGGTCTCAACGCTTCTCACAGCCCGATTAGGACCCGACTCCCTGCTCTGCTGAACCATCATCCTAGCCAGCCCACCGCCGCCAGATGCGGGGTGATACCTCTACGTCAGGGACCAATCAGATTGCAAAAAACGGGAAAGAGAAAAATTGGAGCAAAATGGTTCTTTATTTTTTGTTAGTTTTGAAGACCACTGCATCAAGAACGTTCATTGCCATGTGGGAATCGAGATATGTATGGTCTTTCATTGGATTTAAACTTTCCTCCTCTTCTTGAACCGTCGCCGCAGCTGACATCATTGCAAGAAATGGAATTGAAAGAGAGGGTAAGAGAAGACCCCGAAAAATGGACAAATTCCTTTTTTTAGGAACACATACAAGATTCGTCACACCAAAAAGATGGAAGAGAGTTTGAGGTTAAGATTGAATTAGAAAAGGAAATCGATTTTTTGTTCATCATCGCCGTAGTTATCTTCCCTACCGGAGAAGATCCCCTACTCCCCGCCTTCAGCTGCTTCATCGTGACTTCCTCGTCGTTGCATTCGACATCGTGATCTGTTCCGGCTTTGGATTCGATGGCGAATCGACAAAGGATTAACGGGGGAGTAAGCGTTGGTTGCGGTTGGTTGTGGCGGCGGCGGTGGCCCGTGGGCGGGCTTGGGATAAGGGGTTTCGGAGGGGAAGGGGAAGGTGGGCCACTCCTCTGCTTGATTTTGTCTTTTATTTTTTTTTTAAAAAATTGACATGTCATTAAGTTAACGGTCCAGTAAGTAGTTCTATTTGCCACATCATAAAAAAATTGGCGGAATCTGACAGAGACTAACGGCTAGTGACTAACGATGAAATGATTCGTAAAGTTAGTGGCGAATAAGAAATAAAAGTAATTCGAGTGGCAAAAGTGAAAGACTTATGTAATTTGAGTGATTAAACATGTAATTTAGCCAAAACAGAACCTTGAAAATAGAATGGTGCGGCAAGAAACAAAGGAATCTTCACCTGTTAGAGCATCTCCATCAATGCAATTGCAAAAGAAATTGTATGTGTTTTTATTGTCAACTCAAAATTTTTGCAATCCACATCACATACATTTCATTCACCTACATCAATGCAATTATCTTGCAATTGCAAATGTAATTAAATGATACTTAAATTATAGAAAATTAAGTAAAAGAGAAAAGAAAATAACAAAAAATAAAAAATCCCCATTTTTTAGACTTTTTTTACTTGCATATGCAATTGTATTTGTTGCAAGCTTGCAAATATGCAATTGGTGGCCACATCAATGCAATTGGTTTTGCAATTGCAAACGCCTATACCATGTCATTTTGCAATTGAGAATGCAATACCAATGTGGATGCTCTTACGCATAATAAACAATATCCAACTAGAAAAGGCTGGAAAATGGTTTAAACCGAAGGACATATCGTTAGAGCATCTCCATC